TGAAGAGATAAGAGATAAGATAAAATATATAAATGAAATAAAAAAAATATAAAAAAAATAAATTATTACTTTTTTTTGCACGAATTTAAAATTTTACTATTTTAAAAAAATTTACAAATATTTTAAATTTTAAATTTTTTTATAAATTTTTCATTCAAATAAGATATTTCATTTCAAAAAAATTGAAAATTCTTCGAACAAAAAAACTTCTCGTTTTAAATTTCCTATTGATAAAACACATTATAAGGCTATTCTTAGAAGATTTCTCTGCTATTACTTTCTAAACTTAAAAACAATGAAGTAGCAATATTCATAGATCGAAAGAAACTTTGGTTATGTTCAACTCTTCCTTCGTAAATACACTTTAAGTTGGGTTCCTTCGTAATACACTCTAAGTTGTGCTTCCTTCATAACTACTCACGAGACTAAGCAACCATTTTAGTCATTTGTACATATGGTTCACTTGTGATTTTGCACTTTACATATGCATTAAAATGACATGTAAATATTATAATGAGTTAATTAATTTATTTGTATAAGTTATTATGTTCAGGGTTTAAATGCTTCTGTATTTTTTATAATTTTATTTATTTTATCTTCTAATCACTATAGTTTAAAATAGATTTTTTAATTTTTATATTTGTTTGTTTATCAATTATTTTTAGTATATATAATTTAAGATAAATCTTCTTGGTCACTATACATGCAAAATTATATATATATAAATACTAACATATTTGTCGTCTGGAAAAAAATATAAAAAATGCAAATTAAATTTTAATAAATAAAATGTGTGTACTAGACAATTAAATGTTGCAAAATATATAAAGTGTGTGTACGAGAAAAGTATAGTCAATTATGGTAAATTGTTTAATTATATTTTTTATAGTTTTAATTTGGAATTTGATTTTGATACCGTCAATGTGGAGTATTGTTGATCAGATAGAAATCACCTTAGATATATTTTCTTAAAGTAATTATTAACAAAGTTTATAAATTTTAATTATAGATATATATGTTTTTAAAGTAATTATTACAAGTTTATAATATTTAATTATATGACGATTTATGACTGAAGGACTTGATAAAAATATTTTGCATTATTTTATGTATTTATAATTTTATTTAATTACATGATAACTTACATTTAAATCATTTTATTTTTATATTTTAAAAAATATTTTTATTCTGCATAATTTTTTTTTTAAGTTTTGGTTTCTATAATTTTATTTTATTTAAAGTTTGTTGATAATACTTTTATCCATGAAAATC